CTGTTCGAATAATTTGTCTCCTTTCAACTTCGGAAGTGCAATATGTTTTCGAGCGTGTTCGTGAACATTATGCTGAATAATATTATTGATCACATAACCAGTGAATGTGCTTCACCATGAGTCTACTCCGATACTTCGCATCCTTTAGGTTTAGAAGTGAGAGAGAAGGTTAGTAGTAGTTGATAACAGTATCATGGATGACGCTATTGATTGCATAACCGATGAATGGTTCATACAAGAACACTGATCCTCTAAAGGAACCTCTAAAGGAAAATAAGATATTCGAGTGAAAGTTAAAAGAAGCGGAATGGACTAAAGTGGATGAAGCTTGTAGGAAAGGTTATGGATTCTATATATAGGCAAGATAATTTTTATGGCTACACAGAAGACGGAAGCTGTATGACTGATGTTGGTTTATACATTGATCTTGTACAGTTTCGTTTATGAATCACTCATCTAAAAGTGATTATTGTTGTCGTTGATTACTGATATATAATTTTGATCAAGTCGCGGTTATTTCATTGTAATAATATTGTTTCAGCTGTCTCATTGTTTATTTAACTTGTTGCATTTATGCAAACGGTAGCATCTGCCTTCCACTGTAAAACAAAGTTGAAATCCTGCCACCAACGCCGGAGTTTGCAAAAATCCTGTGAGTATTAGTTATTTCCAGCAGGTTTTTGCAACAAGTTGCGTTCTCGAAAATGTTCCTTCGCGTTGTCGATATATTTCGCAGAATTTTTTGCTGTGCTAACTCTGCGAAATTTTTGCCTTCTTCTTATGATTTGTAGCACGCCAGATATCTTACTACGCTTACCCTATAAGATTTGCAGGATTTTATCTTGAAGAAAAGTAACAGCAGATCGCAGAAAAAGTGGTTACAGCGTCGACGTCGAAGTAAACATAGATAAGAGATGTATTGTTACTGTATATGGCTCATATATATCAAGTATCGTTTTCTTTTCTAATTGTATGTACTTGTTCACAGACAGTAAATCGTCGTGTTTCCAAAGATTATTTATTATGAAACTAGCAACTACACATTTAAAGCAAAAAGAGAACGTTTCTTTTATAGTTCATTCTGCCGTCATTCTGTTTAGGCTATCTTAGAGAAAAATATCTCAAACAAAATCTTATGAAATGTTTGCCGAAAACATATATGGTAATTGACATTTTAAACACTGTATTATTTGTGCTAATGTTTTTTGTTGATCTGCAGCTCAACAAATAGCATCAAACGAGCTTCTGCTGTTTTATCATGGCTTCCAGCACTGAACTTGTTTGTTCACTAGGCTGCTAAAGATGCAGCCTAGCAGCAGATTGCTCATTAACGTGAACCCCCGTGATCTCGCCGAGAATTTTCTTTGGCATGCGTACTTTGCCAAAAATTACTTATCGATAAAAATATTCTCATTCGATTCGGCATCGCGTTCAGCCTTAGAAATCTCAGTCTCATAGAGACAGACAATTGTTTTACTGGATATACTGTATCCCAACGATGGCAGCAGTGCTAATTGTTGTAGTATTTTGACCTTTCTCTGTAAGTACTTAATCGCTTTTCTCGTGCCATATATCATTTGATAGAGTATTAAATTCTGAACAAGATGTCACATGATATGTGTTTTTGTGAAGTTAATTCACCTGTCTAAATCACCACAACAAAAGCAGGATCTAATCAATGCGTAGAAGAAAGATTTCATTTCAAGTTACTCAAGAAGAATAAACACATACTACTGGTACTGAAAACTGTGTAGCTGCGCCTAGAGTGTTAGAATGAGCTCAAACTTTTACCATATTTTGTTCATGACTATCTCTTTAGACGCTCAAAATCACAGCTCTACCAAAGCTTCTATCTCGGAGCACACTCATACGTAATACCGGCAAATTTTGAAAAATTTTGAACATTTTCGAAAACTATGCAAGCCGTTAAGTGAAATAGCTCAAACTTTCAGTGAAGCATGGCTAAACTATCATAGACAGAAACCGGTTTTTCAGAGGATCTCAACAATTAAGCCAACAATTTTACACAGCAATCTATGGATCTTTTCCATAGATATATAGTTCAAAATGTCCTCTACAAAATAATATCCAAGCAAAAGTTCATTTTGCTTGGTTTGGGAGCTTCCGACGTTTTTTCAGAAGTCCTAGGACTTCTCTATTGTTCGCTCTGAGACTTTCAGAAATGCATGAAAACATAGGTTGTCGACCATACTGGATCACATGACAATGTTAGTTTTCAGAGGAAAGTCCAAGAACCGAACGAAAACCTATACTAGATGAAATAACCCATTTTTGACTATTTTCATGAAAAATGAGCTGTTTCATCTACAGCATAGTACAGCATTTCGTTCTTGCATGTTGTTCTGATAACTACTGTGGTCCCGAGATTCAGCGTGATCGATAACCTATGTTTTCATGCATCCCAGGTAGGCATGTTGTTTGACCTAACGCACTGCGCAACTCGCTTTTTTTCACCAAAAATGCGTTAGACAGAAGTAAACGCAGTTAAACGCGTCATATATTAACGCGTTTAGATGCGTTAATCAACACTAAACTCGTTTAAGTACTCTAAAACTAGACGCGTTTGGCTGCTTAAAAAATTAACGCGCCAGAAACCTGCCAAAATAAACGCGTCTTGATGCATCCAAAGACTAGCGCGTGCGAGCGCGTTCAAATTTAGCGCGTTTCGATGCGTTAATGTACCTCAACTGGCGCTAAACGCGTCAGATTCTAACGCATTTGTACATCATAAGCAGCGAATGTATTCATTCACGTAAGAAAACTGAGTCTTGGCCGAGTTTCACCCTAGTGCATTGTACAGCGTTTGGACGCGTAAGCATTTGTCTCCAAACACATATTCATAGGTAACGAGAGCATCGACTCACTAGGGCACTCTTTAAGAAACGATAAAATGAAACAATAAATATGTCAAGTGGTGGTCATAGCTGATCGCGCTTTCATAGCCTCCGGAATATTCAAAGATCAACGCAGAGTTAACAATAGAAAGAAAAAAAACCTCTGTAAAAGAAATTTAAAAAAGAGACATTCATAAAAGAAGTGTCTGCAACTGCGCTTAGAAACCTTTCTTCGGTCAAGATAAGCCTTTATTAAATTGTTCTTTAAAGTATAAAAGAGTAAGGATTCGGTGGAGAAAGTGGAATTCTTGTTTTTCGTTTTTCTTGATTCAGCTGAAATGGAGGTCTAAGCTTTTTCTAGTATTCTCCCACTAAAATTTTCTTACCCTAATGAAATTCTCGTTGAAAAAGTGGAGTTCCTTTTCTCGTGGGGTCCAGACGCTGTTGGCAAGTGAAATGTTAGGTTTGACATAAAGAAATTTTTTCTTACCTTTTTCGGTTTTAACAATTGCTATTGTTTCCTTTTGAAAAGGAAATTTCGGTGCTGTCGATGCAGCAGTAGTAGAGTTCTGTTGTTGAATACCAGCTCTGTCGAATGGTGGTTCTAGAAGAAGAGAAGATGGTTGTTATTCCTTTGAACGGGTAATGCGAAGGCTATTAGCAACTGAGATTCCACCTTCTGTTTTAAAATAGAAATGTGTTCAATGCGATTTCACGCAGCTGTAAAGAAACGCTGAATGAGAGCGCTGTTTTAAGCATAATTGGTCCACGTTTTTTGATCTCAAAAGGTTCTGTGCTTATCATAAGAAAATCCAAGGAAATATATTTGATCATTTTTATGACATTTGAAGATATTTTATCTTCTGATTTCCGACTGCAAAATTTGTTTACTTCTTTTCACCTAATAAACGACCGTTAAATGAGATTTATTTTAAAGAATTTAAATACCGGTCATAACGAGTACTTACTAGTTTTTTGGGGATTTATAGACCTATCGTTTGATTTTTTTATTCCATTTAATATGTTTCATTAGTCTGGACATTTCTTTCGGTTGTTTTTGTTTTGTTTACTTTGAAATGTCTTTTGGCTTATAATTGTTTTGTAAACAATAATAATTTCAAGTCAGAAGTAAAAAAATGAACTCACTTGCACAAGTAGAAAATGACTGGAAAATGCTTCTCGGTTAAAGTCGAAGGCTATTTTTCTAACAGTACCTGTACAAATTCGCTAGCGATTTTCTGGTTAAAAATCGATTTAAAATTACGCGTCTTTTTCTATATACTATCTTCTACTTATTAGCGTACTTCCACTACAGAACGCATTGACTTTCTGAGTGAAATGTTATGTTGAGGTTCATAACGTTATAACGGTGGCATCTATAGAGAAACGAACCAGTAGGTAGAAAATATCTTCATCATGCAGCGCGAAAAAATTCCTAGATAAACGGATCTTCCATGATCCTCTCGGAGAAAATAATCTGCATCGAAATATTTTTGACATTTTTATGTAGGCAAACCCTTATAACAAACTCAACTTCACACGACTAAAGGGTATTCTCAGTAGCATAAAAAGGGTTTTCGAATCTCCGAGAACTCTCTACGCGTTTCATGCAGTGACAAACTCAGAAATGTTTGAAGAACGTTTTCAATTCGTGTTACTAAGTTTTTACTATACATTTTCATCTTGTCAACTTTTAAGCACTAGGAAATAGGAGTAGCTCTACCTTGGATTCTTACTTTAGGTGACGGTTAAGCGGTCAACACATAAAAAGTATTGGTCGTCTGATTTTTCCTAAAGATAAAAGTCTTATTAGAGAATCTGATCTTTCTCTGACTTTTCCATTACTCACAAAAAGCTAAGGAAAGCAGCCCATTTTCGATTCTCAGTAGATTTTATATACTGAAACGGTTTACGAGGATACTGTTTATGTTCTCAAAGCTTTTTTTAAAACAGAAAGGTTTCTGAAAGTTCGGAAACCAGAAAGGTGTTGTCCGAAGCCCATATCGGTTTTTGAAAGAGTTTTGGTTTCTGCGAAATTGCTTTTCTTTTAAAGAGTATAGCTACCACACTCCTCGTTAAGCCTATCTGTTGACCAAGCTGCGCTTACGGTTACTACCTACTATCTTACTACTACTTACACTCTTACTACTTACTATCTTCCGCATTTCCTTGCTGGGGAGAAGCTTCTTGTACTTTGATTCTTTTAATCCATGCAGATTGTTGTTTGTCCACTGCGATACAGATGTTCGATTGTTTGATTAGTTCATCTTTTAGTTCTTTTAGCTGAGTCATCCACATCTTGAGATCTCTTTCGTCGTAATCGTCATCTTTTTGACCTTTACGAGCCTCATTTGTTATTTTGCGAAACTTGTTAATCAGTTGATCCTTATTTTTATCCAGCAGTTGATTAACGTCAGCCTGGCACTGATCAGCAAGTTGATTAATTTTATTGATCGAGTCTTTTTTCCATTCATCAATCTGTTTCAACAAATGGTGAGGTTCATTTTCATTTGGAGTTTCCAACTGTTGTTTGAGCATATCGTGCTCATAAACAAACTGATCGAGTTCTTTTGACAATTGTTGGCGGTGATCATTGTAACACCCTCTACACAGTTTTGATGAACAGCCTTCACACGTGATTGCAGCAGCATTTTTTACACATTTGGGACATTTAACTTTTGATGCAGTCGTCATTTAAAAGAGCAATGAAGTAATGGTTCTTCTACGAGAAAAAGCATACTCTATTTCAGTCTCATATCACCGTTAACAATAATGATCTCAGCGTAGTGTGAATTAACAGCTCGAAAGCATTAATTTGTGTTTGTGTTTTACCTAATGTATAAAAGAATTTGTGTGTTACACACGTGTCAATTTAGATTTTTTCACATTTGACGCTGATTAAAAAAGGTAAATATTTTCATAAGAATCAAAGAAATTCATTTTTCTGTAGATTACAATCATGGTTACCTTTCTACAAGACAACAGAACAGCCACATTTTGTACACATTTCATTTCAAAAGTAAAATAAATACGCAATAAAAGATTTTTTCTTTCCATTATCGTAAAATCGACTTTTTATACGCTGAACAGAATCGGTACGAATTTTTTAATGCAAAAAGTGATTTGAATAAAGAGATACTTTGCTGCCCGTACATTCATTCAATAAGTTATTCAGAAAACAAATCTGACCGATCCTGTTCAGCGTATAAAAAGTCGATTTTGCGATAATGTTTTATGGTATAAAGAAACCAAATGAAAAGAGAAGACAAGAGGGAGAGCCGTTCTTATGTGAGAAATCTATAACATAACAACCCAAAATCGTGTTACCCGAGCAGAATTAAGTAAGGAAGAAAATCTAGCTGCAAAAATAGCTGCATTGGCCAATTAATCGATAGCGGCTAGTTGTACCCAATTGAAGCTAGATGGAATTTTTCATGTATTCCAGTGCAGCAAGTTCAAGCTAGGTAACTGTCCCTCTAAATCTAGATGCAAGCGCCTGCTTCACAATATTTTTTCGTGCTTGGGTAGGCCCGACAATTTGCCGGTATTCCACGAAAATACTTAGAATTCGCCGATTCGCGCTAATTCTCACTACAACAGAATCTTACAAAGAAATTTCAAAACTTCCGCCTATCACTCGTTTAACATAGATCCAAATTTCGGCTTACCGAAATAAAAAGGAGCAGTGGTTAGATAGTACGTTTTGCAGAAGTTTCATTTCTGCGATAAAATAAAAAACGGCTCAAAGTTTTTTGTTGAGACTAAATTTCCAGAAAAATTCTCGACAGACACCTCTGCTCTTTTCTCTCTGTTTCTGACTTAAGAGCTCCCTCTCCACTCAGAAACTTCTTATCGTCCAGGAACATTGACTTTTGATGAAAAGTTCAGACAATGTGTGTCTTGAGGTAACTTAGTCATTCTTATATTGTAGCCTCTTAGCATTTATTTTCCCACAGTTATCCTTAAATTAGTGGTGAAAAAGGATGGTTTTGTACTTCCAAGATTCAGCTGTCATTTTTCGAGCTAGAAATTTTGGGTTTGTTTCAAACCATAGAGAAATACTTTTTCCATGTTGTGACGTTGTTGGATTTTTCAATTCAAGGGAAAATTTAAAAAGTTTCCGAAAAGTCAATAAAATCTCTCTAACTTTGTATAAGTATTAGTGAAAAACATAGTATTTGATGACCCTGTTTGCTGAGACTCCCAGAAAACTCGCCCGAAAACCAGGAAAAACAACTTCTGTGGCTGGAAGCAATACAGATTCTGAAAGTAGACTCTTCAGGCTATCTTCCCACGAGTTTATCACAAAATCGATTTTTCTGAGTGGGAGGGGACCTTAATGTAACGTCTTGTCTTCTTTGAGTTCTCCTGCATGACTTGACTAAACAGGATAAAACTTTTAGAAGTTAACGTAAAATTATGAAAGACATGAAAGAACGTAGGAATCAATCATCTAGTTAATCAGCACAAATTTTAAAAAAATAACGGAATGGCTATTACCACTTTCAAAAGTGACAATAAGATGCTATGGCCACGTTCGGCATTGTCATTAAGAAGCTAATGCCACTTTCTGAAAACGTCAATTACGAACTATTACCACTTCCGGACGCGGCAGCAAGCAGCTATTGCTACTTCCAATAGAAAGTGTCAATGAGTAGCTATTGCCGCTTTCTAACAGGTTTGTTTTCTTGTCTTTGAAACTTACTTTCACACAGCTTAACCCTTTGGCTTCCGGCGACATATAAATGCGTCTAGTTGCAATTATTGCATGATCATAATAGCTAGAATAAATTTGAAAAAAGATTTGAATAGTTGAAAGAATTTCCGATCTCAGGTGGTGTATACAAAGGCTCTATCAAAACTCCTGAAATCAGGGTCTCTGGAAAACTCAAATCTCAGAAAACCAAGTCCCAGAGTTCAATCCAGAAATTCTTTGCAAATAAGTTGATCGTGTAGAGCAAAGATTTCTGAAGAAATTGAGACATCTCCGAGCTGTTTACGACATTTTCTCATGGAACAAGAATCAATTTACAAAGGCCCTAAGGGGGTATCTTCTTGTTTTTCCGCTAGTTTTGCTGCTATGGGGCTTTCCGTAAATTGAATGCTGCTCCATGAGAAAATATCATAAACAGCTCGGAGACGTCTCATTTTCTTCAGAAATGTTTGCTCTACACGACCGACTTATTTGCAAAGAATTTCTGGATTGAACTCTAGGACTTGGTTTTCTGAGATTTGAGTTTTCCAGAGACC